AAAAGACAGTATCTGCAGACAGAAAAAAGCTAATGAGATCTCTTTCATCAAGTCCTAGGTGCACATCTACTTTATCTGTGAGACACATGTCTAACTTCCAGCTCGTATACAGCAGCTGGTATCACTTCAATTTTCCCTTCTGTCTGGCAACTGCTCTTACTGCCATATGCAGTGATCACCTAATCAACAACCACATCCCCTAGGGCCAATTTCTGATCTCAGTTCCACCATAGTAAATCCATTAGAAATAATAGTGTAATTCCAGATGACAGCAAGAAAACATAAACTATCCCATCTTGTCCACAAGATGCCCAGTTATGCCTCACTAGCCCAAGGAATTCAGTCTAGCAATTTCCCACATGGCACTATGATACACTGAAGATGAAAGTCCTGGCTGACAACACTTGAAGTGAGATCTTACGTAAAGTATCTAGCACGCTGAGGCTTCAATCCTGACTGGAATCTATTTCACAATACAAATAATTAATAACAGAACAATGAAGAAACAGCCATGTATTTCATAAAAGGATGCCCCATTAAATCACTAGGCTGTATCTGTAAGATTAGCTTAGGACTTTTTTTGTAGGAACCAAGATTTCTTATAAATAATCTCAATTCTAGACTCACTGTGCTACTCATAAAACGTGATTTAAGAAGAATATGTTCTTAGGCAAGAGAGTGACTGACTTAGTCATGGAATGAGTACAAAGACGGATGCAGTCTGATTTTTAAAGTTTGACAAATTTGAAACCATTGAGAGCATGGGCTCATGTGAACTGAGGATTAGAGTCCCAAAGGCTTAGATTCATAAAGCAGAAGACTAACTAAAAATAGAGATATCCTATAAATGAACTGCTGCTATGAGAATGACCCAGATGTTTAAAAAAATGGAAGTCAAAACATAATAGGTATGAATTGGAAACATCTAGAGTTGGTTATGAAAACCAAATATTCACTGTGACAAAGAGTAATAGGTATGCAACTATACATCTCCTTCAAAACTAGAGTGGAAAGAGTCATTTGTGGAAACTTCTTGGATCAGGACTACAGGGTTTCCATATGGAATTGTGATAACTTGTGTTAGAGGACACAGAGAAGAGCACAAAGACCCGCTAAAAGCCTCCTGTCCTCTCCTGTTTTACAAAATACCTGAAGTAATTTTCTTATAAGTGATTGAAGAATTGCACTGGAATAATCCCTCTGAATTCTGAAACACTTTTGACCACTTTTGGTCCAACAGGACGAATTCAAAGAAAGGAAAGTGGCCACAAAATAAATAATAGGAGCAAAAATGTATTCCAAAGAATAGCCAAAATACATTCCCTCCAGTGCTCATGTTTGGAGGGTTTTTTTGGCTCAGAAGAAGTGAAAAATTAAAATCTGCTCCCAGCCAAATGCATGCTTTTATTGCTTAGTGGATGGATAAAGTCCATGGGTATAGGTGATCTTGGTGTAGCTCTTTGTGTGAGAGAGGGTGGGAAGTAACTGAGAAGTGGAAGGATCTTGAAAGGGTTTGGATTGAAAAAGGAATGTATATTTTTGGTTTCCTGTTAAAGATGCAGCTTTTTCAAATTTGCATAAAATATAATAGCTTTACCCAAGAAATCATTACAGAGATAATGGCCAATTAAGAAAGAAAAAAACACTATTATAGAATAGTAGAAAATTAGGGTTGGAAGGGACCTCATGAGGTCATCTAGCCCAATCTCCTCCTCAAAGCAGGACCAACCCCAACTAGATCATCCCAG